CCTAATGGCTAGCTTAAGCAGCTCACTGCCTAGCGTGGTAGCTTTGTGGATCACAGCCTAAGGCACCTAGCTCTCCCCATCCAGTGCCTAGACACCCATCTCAGGCTTGCTGGATCACAGTCGTGTTCCTGTGATTTTCTAGGCACCTCAAAAATTAGGTGCCATGACACGCAGTGGTGCGACACCCAAGTCTCTGTGGATCTGGGCCCAATTTTCTGCTCACACTTTACACTGTAGAACTCAAATACTTTAGTGTAAAGGCCCTGGTTGTCAGTGACTCATGTGCATTATCTACCTTCTTCAAGGACTGCTAACAAGTTCCATTTTTTAAAAACTCATTTTTTTTTTTTAATTCCAGTTTGAGGTTCCTTTTAAGGACAAAACACAAAACTAAGGGTGAGATTTTCTTGAATGAACAGCCCAGAACTCAGCCCAGGAGGACACAGACTTACGGTGGCTTTAAGACGCCTTTGAACACTCCTGATTCTGGGCTGCTCTGGGGGCTGGGAAGGCTCCTGGGGGCCTGTCTACACTGAGGGCTTGTCTACACACGGAAATTAATCAGGAAGAAGGCAGGGTGTGAATTTAAAGCAAATACACTATTTCTGATTAATTCCCATGTGCAGACGTTCTTATTCCAGATTTATGCTAATTCAGAGCAAGGCATTCTGCTTCAGAATAAGAGCATTCACACAATGGAGTTAATCAGGAATAGTTAATGAGGAATAACTATTCCAAAATAACTCCCGCTGTAGACAAGGTCTAAATATCAGCAGCCTCCACTGGCTGCCCTGTAGGTCTCAGCACTGCCCAGAATCTCCACCCAAGTTACATGCAGGAGCCCTGCCTTGGACACTCCCCCCTCACTTCCAGCACATGCTCTAAAACAGGCCTTGGGAGGGTGTTCTCAGGAAGCATCTTTTGCAGTGCCTGTGCTAAGGGAATCCTCCCCTGGCTAGATATGTGGCTTTCGGGGTCCCTCTGCACTGGATAGAAGGGCTGGAGCAGTGTAAAGAGACCAGAGCTGGAATTAGGAAAGTGTTTTTCTGCTTCCTTATTGATGTTTAATAAGAATCTTTTCTACAAGGCAGAAACTGACCAAAGACAGGGAAAACAGTGAAACTGACTATATACAAAGTGCTGTTAAAGGCAGGAAGCAAACTACTGAGAACACAGAATAAGATTTCTGTAAACTTCTTTCAAATGTAGTAACCTCAGATATCAATAACTACAGCAGGTACACACATTTCAGAGAGAAATGTGACTTTTCATGACGACTCTGTCCTTTAACTTGCCACCATAGAGCATACGGTCAGAGGCAGAAGGTTTGAGTACCTACTTGGCATAGAACTGTCAAGAAGAAATGCAGGAAACCTCAAAGACTCTGTTGCTTTCCTCAACAAGAAAGGGAAGAATCCCAATTGTGGTTGTGGTAAACCTAAAAGGGGTTTTGTTAAAATCTCCAGCTACTATACAACCACAAGAACTGCTGTATAACACACACGATACACATTACAAGATTTTCCTTTTATATATACAGCAAGGTTAAAATAACAAAAATGCAAGATTGATCCTTATTTTCTTTATCCTTTAAAGACGCTTTCTCTGATGTAGTTAAAAACAAACACACACACAAAGGTGAAGAAAATAATTTCAGCTGTGTTAATACTTATGATGAGATGCCCCCCTCTAATGAATCTGTATTGAAGAAAGAGAGATTTTGAAGGGCTGCTAATCCTCCCATCAATAGTCAGTGGAGTCAGACACGGACTATCGATACCTTTCGAAATTGCTCAATCCAGCAATGCAAACGATGGCCACTGCGGATGCTTTAAACAGAAATCTGCAAACCTAAGATCTTCATGCTGCCCTCCAACGTTCTTCCCATCAGGCCTGGGTATGCTGTAATCAAGTAAACCAAGTTACAGTAGAACTTCAGAGTTACAAACTGACCAGTCAACCACACACCTCGCTTGGAAATGGAAGGCTGCAATCAGGCAGCAGCAGAGACAAAACAAAAAAGCACATACAGTACAGCACTATCTTAAATGTAAACTACTAAAAAAATTAAGGGAAAGTTTAAAGAAAGATTTTGCATGGTAAGGAAACTGTTTCTGTGCTTGTTTCATGGTTAAAAGCAGCATTTTTCTTCTGCATAGTAAAGTTTCAAAGCTGTATTAAGTCAATGTTCAGTTGTAAACTTTTGAAAGAACCGTAACGTTTTGTTCAGAGTTACGAACGTTTCAGTTATGAACAACCTCCATTTCCGAGGTGTTTGCAATTCTGAGATTCTACTATATACGCATTAGCACAGAGACCCTGCATGATCACACAGCAGCCTGATGGGGTTTTTCAGTGCTATCAATTACATTAAAAGAGGCAACTGTTTGTGGAGTACATGAATAAAAGAGCAAACAACTGTTTTTAAATCAGTGGGTGTAGATAACTTGCATCCAAGACTTTTATAAGAGCTGGCTGAGGAGCTCCCTGGACTGTTAATGTTGATGTTCAGTAAGTCATGGAACACCAGGGAAGTTCCAGAAGTTGGAAGAAAGGTAACGTTGTGCCAATATTTAAAAAGGGTAAACAGGAGGACCTGTGTAATTAGAGGCCTCTCACTCTGCTACCGATCTCAGGTAAGATAACGGAGCAGCTTATAAGGAATTCGATTAATAAAGAATTCAAGGAGGGTAATATAATTAATGCCAATCAATCTGGGTTTATGGAAAATAGGTCCAGTCTAACAGGATAGCTTTTTTTGATGAGATTACCTGAACCAGAAAAAAAAAGGGAAAAAGAACAAGGGATGTAGTTAAAAAATGTCAAAAAACAACAACATGAAAGTAACGCTAAAAACCCATGGGCCTATACATAATAGTAAAACCCAAATCTTTATTGTCTTAGGTTAGCCAGAACAACAAAGGGAAAAAGATTTGGGGTGGGATTCTGAAAAATTCCTTGGTGTGTTAGGAACAGAAGTCCCACCCTTATGATTTAGAGGGAGAATGTTAAGGTCAGAAGGTTACTACAGTAACTCCTCACTTAAAGTCGTCCTGGTTAACATTGTTTCGTTGTTACGTTGCTGATCAATTAGGGAACATGCTCGTTTAAAGTTGTGCATGGCTCCCTTCTAACGTCGTTTGGCAGCTGCCTGCTTTGTCCACTGCTTGCAGGAAGAGCAGCCCGTTGCAGCTAGCTGGTGAGGGCTTGGAACCAGGGTGGACCGGCAGCCCCCCTATCAGCTCCTCGCTCCTGTAAGTTCCCTGTGCAGCAGCCGCCCAGCAGGCTATCAAGGCAGTTCAGCTGTCCCTCCCATCACTGCCATGTGCCCCCCCTGCCCTCTGGCTGGGCGCCCCCCCCGGCGCCTCCTGGGTGCGGGGGGGGGGGGGGGGGAAGGGTAGGGCTATTGTCAGTGTGTCCCCCTCCCCCCTGCTCCTGCACCCTGCTTACCCCTTCTTCATATACAGCAGGGAGGGGACACGGACGAAGAGAGACAGAGAGAGCTTGGGGCAGCAGCTGCTGTCTCAACTTCCTGATCCACTTAAAAAGACAATGCACTTAAGAGTGGGTCAGCTTACTTAAAGGGGCAGTGTGCATCTCTCTCTCTCTCTCCCAGACACAAGGTATGTGTCTGTCTCTGTCTGCTATGCTGTCTCCCCTCCCTTGTGTTCGTGCTGCCTTGCGTGAGAGGCTACATTAACATCGTGTTAACCCTTGAGGGCTCAGCCGAGTGCTAGTTCATCATTTAGCAGCAAGGCATTCCCTGGGAAATATCCCTCCCTCTTCCACGCTCTAACTTCACCACCTCAACCAAGCTTCACAATCATCATAGCTGTGAACAGTATTAAATTGTTTGTTTAAAACGTATATTGTGTGTATACCTATATAATATAGTTTTTTGTCTGGTGAAAAACATTTCCCTGGTACCTAACCCCCCCATTTACATTAATTCTTATGGGCAAATTGGATTAGCTTAACATTGTTTCGCTTAAAGTCACATTTTTCAGGAGCATAACTACGTTAAGTGAGGAGTTACTGTAGTCCAAAAACAGGGTGCGATTCTGTGCTGAGCCTCTAAGAGGCGCAATACAAAACTCACAGCCTAGGAGGAGGAGCTAAGGTGGTTTCAGGCCACCATTGCACCCTCCTAGTTCTGGGCTGCTCTGGGGGGCGAAGAAACTCTCAGTATTACTTAGCCCTGAGCCTGGCTACCTACAGTCAGTAGTACTGTCCAGGACCTCCATAGCACTGTGTGCTGTGACCACAGCCCAGTTATACCTTCCTGCCCTCAACATGCAATCTATAGCAGAGTTTGTGAGGGGGTCCTTACAAGGCAGCTTGTGGCTGCCTTCCTCAGGTTCTTCCCTAGCTGGATTGAGTGCCTTTAGAACCCCTTTATGCTGCTCCGGCCTTTTCTCCAAGTTTATGGGGCCAAAATGTGGGTTAGGATCTCATCCAATAAATTAATTGTCAGCTAAACCAAGAGGAGAGATACTATTACAGTGGGAATTTCAGAAGTGCTCAGAGCTGGCCTAATTCCGTTCCCCCTGAATTCAGAGGTAAAATTCCCATTGATGTTGATGGGAGCAGCTAGGCCAATGCTGAGTGCTTTTGGAAAAAAACCACCCTATTCCTCAGTGGGAACGGTAAAGCTAACCTTATTTCTTCAATCCTTTTATGTATCAATATGATCACTGGGTATCCAGATGTTAAAAAAGAGCATTGAGTGACATATGCATAAAATAATGGGGAGTCTTTAGTTTTAGCTGGCTTGCCTGCAATAGCAGGGGACTGGCCTGGATAACCCAGGAGGTCCCTTCCAATCCTATATATATGTCCTCTAGTTATACTACACATATGCCCTTACTGATAACATAGCTCTTAATTATTTGACAGTAAAGTAAAAGAAAGGCTTTCCCATTAGCATGAAACAAATATTTCCTTTTCTTCAAGATTCCATTCCAAGTGAGAGACAAACATTTCTTTTGATATATTTCTTTACATTCCAGGTTTATTCAAGAGACATTATTCACAAGCACATATACTGCAGGTATATGTTTGGTAGATTTTAAGAATGGTAAGACACTAGGAGCATGAATCAGCAATAACCCTAGCAAACAACAACATGGCTAAAAAAAATCCCAGTGTGATTTCTTCTTTTAATATCAAAGCCCTGGACGTTTAAATCCAAATCTCGAATATTGAACCAAGCCGTTCACACCTAGAACATTTGGTACAATGACAGTCCATTTACAAAAAACACAAGATGCAAAGAGTTGCAAATTTACCTACGCTTGATTTCTGAGATATGGATGGCAAGATGCAGGAGAAGTATCCGTGCATTTGAAAAATGTTACATCGAACAACCAAGTAATTTTGTGCTTCAATATTTTGATTGAAAAGTCTCCTTATCCAGCATAAAGTCTGCAAATCTCTGCTGGAGCTCCTTCTCTCGCTCTTGCTGCCGCTGCACGTCTTCTTTTAGACACTAATAGGAAAACAAAAAGTAACAACTGGTTAATTCTCACACTGTTTACACTATCACACACTGAGTTAGCATGGGCTGTATTTTCCTTGAGACCAAAGTGTGTTGTCTGAGATAGAAATGCTATTTGATTGCTTTAGAAACACAGGAATTGCTATCCTGGATCAGAGCTGTGGTCCATCCAGTCCAGTGTCCTGTCTCAGAGCGGCCAGCCCCAGCTGCTGCAGAGGAAGTGCAAGAAGCCTTACGCAGGTATGGGAAGATGTGCTCCCCACATGAGGTCTCCTAATCCCGGTTCAATTAGTTTAAAATCCCATGTCTGAGATTTAATGACTCTTCCAAAATCTGTTTGTATTAGTTATTTTTAGCTCTTGCCAAGTTTTTGGCCTCAATGACATCCTGTGCCAAAGGAGTTCCGCACTTCAATTACATTGCGTGAAAAAGGATTTCCTTTTATTGCCTTTGCCATTTATAACTAGAGCCGACAGGAGGATGATGACAATTTTATTTTGCGGCAACTTTCAAGGTTACAAAGTTTGCTTTCACTCGCACTGGAGCAAGTTCAGAGTGATCAGGCTATGTGTACACTTAAAATGCTACACCGCTGTAGCGCTCCTCCCCAAGAGGCAGTAGACAGGGGGACAGGAGAATTCTTCCGTTGACCTAGCATTGTCTATACCGGAGGTTAGATCAGCATAGCTACATCCATCAAGGGCGTGGATTTTTTTCACACATCTGAGAGACGTAGCAACGTTGATTTAAATTTTCAGTGTAGACCAGCCCTGGGGTGAAAAACAGCTCGGAATCAGGCACAGCAGGGTCTCCCACATCCCGGACCTGTGCCAGAACCCTAAGCTATAGAGATTGTCTGTCTCTCACTAAAACGTCATCAAAACTGATACGTCTCCACAAAAACATTTTGGCTTTGACAAAATAGCAGATTCCTGACTGACTAGCTCTTGTATTAAACTAATGACACAAATTTTAAAGACCAGCCATTCTTATTCTGATTAACAAAACTCTTCACAATTTTCCTGTGTGCACTATTAATTATAGTTTCCAACTCAAATGATAATTTAATACCAGTGGCTCCCAACCTATTGGCATACTACATGAGTTTACCTGATTAAGATCCTGGCTGTAACTTCTCATAACTGCCATCTCCCATTTGGTTGTGTACATTGCACTCTACAATGAGAGGGGAGCTGCTCCAAACGCTAGCACATGCCACTGACTAGAGCAGTGTTTCTAAAACACTAGCGGAGTTTTTTGTGGCCACGACAGCCTCTAAAGCAGGGGCAGAGACTGGGAGTGGGGGGCAGAGCTGCAGCCCCTCCCTGCAGCGCTCAGCTGTTATCAAGGGCAATGAGATGTGCTGCCTTGGTGTTTACGCTGGCACTGCCAGCAGGGATCAGCACCCTGCATCGTGCAGCATCCTTGGAGGCTTTGGGCAGCACCTCTGGAGACACATGGGCCAATGTGCTTGGCACCAGAGGCTGATCTTGTCATTGAAGGTGGCTGCAGTGTTCTCTCGCCAGAGCATGTGGAGCCTGGGATGTGGAGCCTGGGACTCCACAGATGGCCGTTGAGTTCCTGACCCACCTTCCCTGGGAAGGGCTCTTGATGAAGGGCCATGGGAGGCAGGGACAGAGAGATGGGTTTGTCAAGAGGAGCCGCCAGCAAGAGTTGGTGACTGGACTCTGAGGCCACCAAAAATTTTGTTGTGAGAACCCCTGGACTAGAGTGTTCACAACTGAATGACTATGACCAGCTTTGGGTTCAGAGCAGATTCATTCAAGGAGGGGCACACAGAGCACTAGTCACCTGACCTACTAACATATGTAACAATGTTTCTCTTAGAAATCAAAATCTGGCCATTTAAGTGCAGCAGAAAAATAAGTGATACTTTTGAACCACAGGACATACACTATTCAATAAAACGGTGATGCATTTAGGACTGCAAGGCAGTGTATGCCAAAGATTTTGGATAAAACAATATGGGAAAAAGTGCAGGGAGTTTGCAGTTTCTTACATGAAATTCCCTACTTAGGTATGTAAATACATCCAGTTCTCGTAAATTGCCTTAAGTAAGACTGCTGATGATACTTCACAAAACTGGGACAATTAGTGAGCAATCAGCACCAGCTTTTTAAAGCAAGCTACAGAAAAGTAACTGCAGACAAGTGATGTATGGGTGATGTTCCACCTTTCCTTCCCCTGAATGACTTCCAGATAGTTTGCTATGTTGTAAAATAAAAACAAGGTCTTTCTAATTGCCAACACTGCACACACAGCTTGGTATCTGAAAATAAAGTAGCTTCTTCCCGCTTCATACAGGTTCTCTACCATAAGCACTTGGAATTAAACTTAGCTGTAATTTCTTTCTTTAAATACAACAGGGAGAAGAGAATACAGCGGCTGTTTTGTAGTCACCTTGACCAGCTCAGATCCTATATGAATCCCATATGTTCTTAACCCTATTGCCCATTTTTCCAGTTATAAGCATAAGAAATCCTTTTCATGTGAAAACAATCTTATCCAAACTGGACCTTTTTCATTGTGTAGGAATAGATGAAGAACGCAGGCACCTAATTTCCCATGATGTTATACTACACAGTAATATGCTCATTCTGATATGGTTCCTCTACCACTTTTTCTTTTTTATTTAAACATGACCATAACCTTATTACTCGTTGTTAAGACTAACATATGACGAGATAACAGGCCTATCTACAGCTGGTGTAAACTGTCACAGCTCCATTGACTTCAGCGGTGGATCTATCCCAATATATTATAATAGTCAACTAAAAATAACTAGGTAACATATAACTTCTGCTAAATCAAACAGTCTGTGTTGTATGAGATTAAAAAATCAAAACACAATAAAATAAACAAGGGTGGGAGAAGAAGCAGCAATAAAAAGATCAGCCTCAGCTTTAACATGGCCCAGGATCTCAGATACTACGGTGATGGGAAACAGTGTAAGAACCTGGATAATTACGCAGCAGAAAAGAAGTTGACATTAATTTTAAAAAACGCAGTATTAAAAAATTAATGTAGCCAAGGAACAGCAGCAGCCCATGCAAATTTAACACTGTTAAACAAACACTTCTCTGTTGCTGTCCTTCTAGACGATCCACTGAAGTGGTGTTTAGGAATCCTACCTCCAGTCTCCTGGGAATAGCAGCGTCTTCGTGTTTCTTTAACTCCTCAAAAGTACGTAACTCCAGGTAAGCCTGTTCAATCTGGTCCCACAAATCATTTAACTGTTTCATGAGTCCCATTGCCCGAGACTGGTAACCACCAAGCAAAATCTTCATCTTCTTTTCCATCTTGGCAGCCCTCTTAGCTTCTGTTGTCATGTGACCTCTGTTTATCTGTAGAGAAGAAACCAGTGTGTGTATTACTGATGCAGAACAATGTTAAATCTTTCTATTTCTGAAGTGCACTGTACGATAAGCACCTTCTATAGTGCAACAACCCAAGACAGATGAGACCATAGGCGCCGACTTCTTCTGGCATCGGTGGGTGCTCGACCCCCCTCTGCTCCCAGCCCCGCCCCAACTCCACCCCTGCCCTGCCCCCCTCCCGCCCCCATTCCAACCCCATCCCCAAAGTCCCTGCCCCGACTCCGCCCCCTCCCATCCCTATTCAACTCCTTCCCCAAATCCCCGCCTCTTCCCTGAGTGCACCACGTTCCCGCTCCTCCCTCCTCCGTCCTAGCGCTTGCTACAGCTGTTTGGCAGCGGCAAGCGCTGGGAGGGAGGGAGGAGCAGAGACGCGGCGCGCTCAGGGGAGAAGGCGGAGGTGAAGTGGGGGGGGAGCTTGGCTGCTGGTGGGTGCAGAGCACCCGCTAATTTTTCCCCGGGGGTACTCCCGCCCCGGAGCACCCATGGAGTCGGCACCTATGGACGAGACATTATTGTACTAAAACTTCAAATCAAGGAGCAGATTTTCCTACTGTAACGACCCCTAGAAAACACAAGCATCATTACAGTCTATTAGAGTACAGCGTTAGACAAAGATTATTAAAAGCATTGTGCTGAGTGGGCAGCAAGGCCACTGTACATGCATATCATGGCTACATACCAACTCCCAAGGGAATAACTAGGAGAGAAATCCCTACCCCCGTTACAGAAAATAAAATAAAGGAGATTAATATTTTCCTCTTTTTAAATATTACATACTATACCTGCAAAGGTGGCCAAAACCTTCAATCTGGCTCCCCTTACCTCCCTACCCCCACTATGCCCCATTTAACTTGCTCTTTCGCATTAAAAAAAACTGAATGAGGAGCCTTAGAGCAACTCCCAGTTCATATTTCTGTAATAAAAGCAGAGTTAAAAAAACACAGTTGCCTCTGCAATAACACAACCACCACCACTCTTCTGCAGCGCTTTTCACCTGTGGAACTCAAAGCACTGTAGAAAAGTGGGAAAGTAACATTATCCCCTATTTGCAAACACTTCTCTGAGGTAAAATGATTTGGCCAAGATCACTGACTCACAGCAGATCAGTGGCAGAGCAGGAATGGGACTCAAATCTCCTAATTTGCAATCCAGGACCAAGTGCAGCAAATAGGGCGGGGGAATAGTAAAAGGGTGGTACCAACATACTGGAGCAATTGGTACACTAGAAAGAAGTGGTGATCTCTCTCTGAAGCATCATTTTGGTGAGTGCCAACAGCAGGGCTTTGGGTCATGAGAAGTGTGAATGGGGAGAAAGAGTTAAAAATATTGTAACCCTAAATATATCAAAGCAGCAGAGAAGAGACTGTTTATACCCATTTTCCCTACGCTTTCATTTCCTCTTTGTTTAGTGCAGGGGTGGTCAACCTGTGGCTCCGGAGCCACATGCAGCTCTTCAGAAGTTAATATATGACTCCTTGTATAGGCACCGACTCTGGGGCTGGGGCTACAGGAGCCAACTTTCCAATGTGACGGGGTGCTCACTGCTCAACCCCTGGCTCTGCCACAGGCCCTGCCCCCACCCCACCTCTTCCTGCCCCCTCCCCTGAGCCTGCCATGCCCTTGCTCCTCCCCTTTCCCCTCCGAGCCTCCTGCACTGATCAGCGGGGCTGCCGGTGGGCGGGAGGTGCTGGGGTGGGGGGGGGAGTGATATGGGGCTGCTGACATATTACTATGGCTCTTTGACAATGTACATTGGTAAATTCTGGCTCCTTCTCTGGCTCAGGTTGGCCACCCCTGGTTTAGTGGAAAGATATCCTGCCTAATCCCCTGCCCAAACTGGACTTTAAAGCTATTCTAATGAAATTTCATATTCTAATAGCATGCACAACAGCACCCCCTGCTCCAGTTGTGGCTCCATGATACACTAAAATGAGAGAAAAGAATCTGCACCATGGTAGAGGCCTGCTAGTTACCAGAATTTTATTCTTATTCCTGGGATCTTGCAGTGAGCACTTTACATTGACTCATGGTAACACTTTGGCCCAGGAGAGTCCTGCCCAGGCCTCTAAACTATTTGGATGGTAGCCACAGTCCAGAATTAGGGTTTTCAAATGACAAATGCTAATGAAAAAGATGAAATCCAAACGTAGGACATTATATATGCAGAGGAGCAAGCACAGTAAAGACAACTTTTACCATTGGAAATGAAAGGCATCATAATCTGTCACATATTGTGAGATATAGGTCTGCCAGCCACAGATAGTGCCAAGAGAGAGAGACACCTTGCTTATCTGGGCAATATTAATTGGACTGTCAAAGTTTTGAAGGATTGTTAACGCTTACTCTCCTAGTCCAGCTCCAACTCATAGTATCAAAGAAATGCTCTGTGTTGAATCAGCAAACTAGTAGCACTATGAAATATCACTGAACAGAGTCTGGGAGAGGTGTAGCATTTCACATCTCTATTTACGGACATATGGATTTACTTGTTGTTTTAGGATATACTCATGCAATACTTCTTTTTGCAGAAAGCGTTGTGCAAATGATTCTAAATTTAATAAAGGGTAAAAGTCCACCTTCTCAAAATGTGGCTTCCCAGTACCCCTTTACCCTGATATAACGCGACCCGATATAATACGAATTCGGATATAATGCGGTAAAGCAGTGCTCCGGGGGGGCGGGGCTGCGCACTCCAGCGGATCAAAGCAAATTCGATATAACGCGGTTTCACCTATACGCGGTAAGATTTTTTGGCTCCCGAGGACAGCGTTATATTGGGATAGAGGTATACTAACGGTTTATTAAACAGTGCAGGAGATGGGAATAAATGCTTCTTTTAAGCTGGCAATACAATCTGTAAATGCTAAATTACAAGTTCCCAACTCATGTAGCAGTAGTCAGTGGGGTCTATTTTCTTTTAGAAATCAAGTGCTGCGTTGGTAAATATCACATCTATCAAACACAGTCATTATTAACTGATTAAAAAAATACAGAATACTGCATTGTTTTGTGCTAAGTCTACCCTCTGGTCTCCCAGTGCATTATGCGTTTTATTGTGTATGAAGATTGTAAGCACATTGGGCAAGGACCATTTTTCTAAGTGTTCTGTAGTGTGTCAAATATACTCAAAAAGACACCTACGTCCACACCAATCAATCACAACCATTATAGTCACATGATCCATGTTAGGACAAAGCAGATATTAATGCCAACTCCTGTAGAACTCAACTTCTTAACGAGTTTTACTCTAGAACTAAACGTGCGAATTTAGAGCCTTTTACATACCAGTATTTTAATAGGCAAAATACAGAAAAACAAGGGGATTGTAAGGGTGGGAAACTGTTAATGGGACAAGGGAGAGAGATTTGCGCTTCTGAGCTGCCTGGCTTGCTGGTAGGGGTTAGACTGAACTGGACTGTGGCTCTTTTCAACGTATTTTCAGGGTATCTAGAGCAGCGGTTTTAAAACTTTTTCAGCTGAGCCCCGACTTTGAGTTACAATTTTTAGTTGCAACCCCCTCTCCCACAAGCCAGACAAAAACAGACACAATACCTGCCCCTCCTCTCTCGGACTTTCAGGGTGGGGGAAGGTATGTGCGACAGTCTCTGGGGGTGGAGCCAGCGCTGGGCGCAGAGGCTGCTGGGAGCAGAAATCAGCGCAGCCACCGCAGATGCTGACACTGACCCACAGGCTGGGTGACCTTCTGAGGTGAGTCAGGGGGTAGAGGGCACTCCCTCCCCGAGCCACTTGGCATCGGCGGCCCGAGCTGCCTGGCATCGCTACTTGGCCCCGCCTTACCCCACGGTTTGAAAACCTCTGATCAAGAGTATATGAACATTTGTAAACATCTAAAGAAAAAAAATCACATAAATAAATGAGTCCTGTGACAGACCCAGACCACTGGGGTACAGGAGTCTGGTAGAGGGCAAATAGACTGGTCACTGGATGAGTAGTTTTCTGTTCCCTGAGTGACCAGAGAAGGGGCTGCACTAGAGTAATCAGGAACCTGCTAGAACCAGTTAAGGCAGGCAGGCTAATTAGGACACCTGGAGCCAATTAAGAAGAAGCTGCTGGAATCAATTAAGGCAGGCTAATCAGGGCACCTGGGTTTTAAAAGGAGCTCACTTCAGTTTGTGGTGCGAGTGTGAGGAGCTGGGAGCAAGAGGCGCAAGGAGCTGAGAGGGTGAGGGTGTGCTGCTGGAGGACTGAGGAGCACAAGCGTTATCAGACACCAGGAGAAAGGTCCTGTGGTGAGAATAAGGAAGGTGTTTGGAGGAGGCCATGGGGAAGTAGCCCAGGGAGTTGTAGCTGCCATGCAGCTGTTACAGGAGGCACTATAGACAGCTGCAGTCCACAGGGCCCTGGGCTGGAACCTGGAGTAGAAGGCGGGCCCGGGTCCCCCCCAAACCTCCCAATTGACCTGGACTGTGGGTTCTTCCAGAGGGGAAGGTCTCTGGCTGTTCCCCAACCCACATGGTGACTCTCTGAGGCAAGAAAATCCACCAATAAGCGCAGGACCCACCAAGATAGAGGAGGAACTTTGTCACACTCCCTAATCTTCCTGTGCTTTTCAAATGGGGGGTTGGGGTGGCGTGACAGGGAGTGTGTTGTGTGTATGTGAGGGGGAGAGAGAGTGGGTTTTGGGGGGGCTGAGAGCATGTCAGCATGCTGTCTTGTAAGTTCAGACAGCAGCAGACCTCCCCCTCCCCCACCTCTCTCTCTCTCTCTCTCTCTCACCACACAGCATTCCACAGTAATGGTTGCTTTGTCTCGGAGCAGATAACCAGCCTGCTGTCAAATGGAGCTTTCAAAGGGCATATCCAAAACAATGACAATGAGTGGCCACTTGACTTAAGGGGATTATGGGACGCTTCCGGAGGCTGATCAGAGCACAGTAATGCAACACCTCGTTCACACTAACGCTGCGGCGCTCCAGCAGGGGCGCATCAAACATTATTCCACTCGCC